CTATTCTATTCTATTCTATTCTATTCTATTCTATTCTATTCTATTCTGTTCTAAAAGAGAGCTTCAAAAAAGAAAAGAAAAAAGTTTGCAAAGCTACTTGGTCAGTTTACCTTGATACCAAAATAAAATAAAAATTAACTATAAGCTTTGGAGTGTAAAGAACTTTTTTTAAAAATGGCCAAGGTCTATAAAAGACTGTAATTTTTAAAAAGTTACAAATGATTTAAGGGGCCAAACGATTTGGAATGCTAGGACTTTTGCTAAAAGATTTTGGAAATTATTATTTAAATAAATAGCACCCTCATGAGAACTAAAAGCGTTTAGTCTACCTTAAGTCATAACAGAAATTTGAGACTTTATGATTTCAGAAAGTAGACACTAGGGACTAAAGATCCTAGGAACAAATAAGGGTGGGTGGGAATAAGTTTTGATAGTATTGGGACGAAATGACAGAAAGTGGTTTTAAATTTTAAATACTCCAGAAGATATTTGAAGAACAGAGCAGAAATCTAGCAGCCATACTATCAACAACACCTGCTTCTACTGATAGATTATTTCCAAAAGATGTTAAAGAACAAATGCCAGATTTAAAAGCGAATACTTCGAAGATCTAAGAGCTGAAACAAACCTCATCTGATGCAGAAATATTAGAAAACAAAGAATTTGTTGAAATGCTGGAAAATTAAAAAATGTGGCTTATAAAACAGAGATGACAATTAAAATGGAAACACAAATGATAAACCAGGAGAGTGGCATGGATAATGACTCCTTATGGATTTACAAAACGGTTTGTTAAAGCCCTGAAGAAGCCTTTGAGAAGAAGCCTTTGCTGTGTGCTTGTTTGAAAAGCAGTGTAATCATGCAGATAAGTCCCATCCTCTCCCCACATTTCTCTTAGACTTGTTACTAACAAGCATGTAAACTGGTGTTCCAGCTGCTGGGCTAATTAAGCCACACTTTAATATTTTCAAGGATGTGCTGACATCCAGAGGCAGATTCACCACCCTCTCTAGTCTTTGAATTTACAAATTCAAAAGCTAAGGCAAAATGGGAAAGAAACCGAGGTTTATCAGGAATAAAGGCAAATGGCCTACAGAGGATGAAGCAGAGCTGATGTCTACAGATTGACAGATAGTAGAAGACTATTGAACTGTCAGGACTACAAGCTACAGTGAGGAGCATATGCTGGTCGGAGTTCTGCCTGGAGCTTGGACCTTTGCCTGGAGCTTGGCAGCAACTAGAAAATGAGTAACCACAGTGAAGCAGCACCTCATCCCAACTAGTGCAAGAACATTTGGAAAAAGACAAAGGTTGTGCATTACTTTAAAGATATTGAGACCTTAGTTTGAGTATTGGGGACATATTCACATGGCAAAGTTTATCGCTTGCAAAACTTAGAAGGATAATGATGACCAGAGCAATAACCTGCTGCTGTGTAAGGTATGCGTTGCAATAAAGTATTTTTTTTACAGATTTGTTACCTTGTAGTGTGTCTGATCCTTGGAGAGCAAAGAACCTTCAAAATAGGAAAAAGAAAAACTGCAGTTTTTCTGAAGATTTCAGGTCATGGTCCCCAAAATCTGTACTGTGTTAAATACTTTTCACCTAAGTCACCTTCTACACTCAATATATTTCCCCTATCTAATCTTTTACATGAGAAATCTCTTTTTGTTTCTTCCTAGATCTTCAAAGTCAAAGGTAATATGTTTCAATCCATTGTTTTCTAAACCACTTGTCATCACATGGTTAGTTGATTGGCTTCATTTCTTTTTTTATATAAATAAAAGTTTATTATAAACATACGGTCACTTTACATTCTTTAAGCTGATTCTAAAAAGTAATAGTATGGATAGAGAAAAGTATAATATCAAAACAAAGAAAAAAAATAAAATCATTAAAAAGATCTTATAGGTTCATTTTTCTCCTCCCTTCCATTATCCCTAGCCACCAACCACTCCTTTTCTTGATACATTGGAGATTGTCTCTTACATTTATCTAAACTGTTTCATCTGATTTTTAAATTAATTCTTTAACTTTTTTTCTTATAAGCCATGTTTCAAATGTCTAAACCTGTTTTCCTATGTGATGTAAGAGGACTTGTATGTAAGAGACCATTCTTGCTTGAATTTAATTAAACTTGCGTTATAAATATATATATAGCCAGGTTTGTCATTGCTGCCTACTTTTCTATCCTGTTAAAGGAATAACTATCAGTGGGACATCTGAGAAGCCCTTCCTTTATAACTCAGCACTCTTAGCAGTTAGCACCCTTCACAAGCTGATGGGTCTGGTTAACACATTCTTATAATTCGAGTTTCTCTTTGTCTAATTGCAGGATGCAGCTGTATTCTCTCTGCCCTTCAGTACCCACCATCCTTCTACTCCTCAATTTTTATTTTTATTTTCCTAAAGGTTCAGAGACTCCTTCTGAGAGGTCTTGAAAGCTGAATCTGAGTCTCAGCACTACATAGCACCTTCTCTGCCTATTACTTCTTGTATTCACTCCAACCCATTGGGCATGGCTCCTTGGTTTGAGTTTCCTCCTTACGGAAAGTTACTTCTCTGTCTATTGTAGCACCTTCTTTGATCTGACCAATGTTCACCCTTCCTTTCTGCTGAAATAGCAATAGCACTTACACTTATATACCGCTTCTTAGCCCTCTCTAAGCAGTTTACAGAGTCGGCATATACTGCCCTCAATAATATGGGTCCACATTTTACCAACCTCGGAAGGATGGAAGGTTGAGTCAACCTCGAGCCCATGAGGATTGAACCGCTGGCAGTCAGCAGAATTAGCCTGCAACACCGCATTCTAACCACCGCGCCCCCTCTGATTTTTCTTTTTCTTGAAAATCCACAAATACATGCCAGGTTGTTTTCAGGGAGCATTAGACATAGTACAAGTGCTGCAGGTCAGAACTTCATTATTTTAGAAGTGACCGTCAGTAATAAACTTTGATTTCTTTTGATTTCAGCTTAGGAGTACAGTGTTGATTTAAAGGGACATTTTGTTAAGGTTTTTCCCTAAAATTCCATTGCCAAACTTCTGCTTGCTCTCCCTATTCATTTACTCATTATTTTCTACCACAATGAAGATCACCTTGTCTTTTCCTGAATCTAAGTGGTATATGATCCTGCGTAAGTAAACCTAAGTCTTATAAATACATACAGTCATAGGTATACATACACACAAAACACAAACACATCAATTAATGCTCATAAAACATCCTCTGTGTCTACAACTTACCTCACAGGCAAAGTTCTATCTCCTTTCCTTCTGTCCATTTCTCTTTGGGGAACAGGGTACCAACGAAAATTGAGTTTCCAGTTGAATCCTCCATAAGTCATATCTGATCCAGCCATGTATTCAAATGTGTCATCACTGATTACATCGATAATTGGGCATACAACAATTTTCCTATAAAACAAAAATAAATATGCAAAGGTATTTTCCTGGCAAGGAACTCTGCCTGGTCCAAACACACACATTCAGAGAGGTAAGGCTGTATGTAAAGGGCTGAATCCCTTTTGAAATCTATTCTCGCCTTGATTAAATACATTCAAAATCTACTCAGGAGAAGGAAGCGTGAAGGCAGGAAAGCATGAGACTCTAGCTACAGCCACTCTCTGCTCCCTTTCCTAAACATTGTTAATATATCTGAAGATTTATCCATGCAGCCTTGGCAACTGAAACTAGGGAAAGCTCCAGAGATTGCAGCATCCGTTTGGAGATATGAACTGTGACCAAGTTAGGAAAACAAACAAATACCTGCTTCCACAAGCATTCGAGTGAATTACCGTTTTTAAAATCCAGACATATTATTCATGGCACATTAAGCACATCCATACTTTGCGAAATCCATAACATAGAAATACGCACAATTCTCTTTGGGTCTTGCTTCTTCTTCTTTTTTTTACCCCAAAGCACAGCATATGTTTTCCTCACGCAAACCCCAAATGGATAAGCTCAATATACAAACTATTAATAAGAAGTCACAGATAGGAAATGGAGCAGCATTCGTTGTGTTTTCCACTCATCCGCTGTATAAAGCTTTTATTCATTTTTGGATTCAAAATCTAGCTAAACCAATGAAGGCAAAAAATAGAAATAGTTTTTCACCATGTGAGGTCTATCGGCTAGACAACAATCAGAAACATACATTTCCAAGAAACCTAATGAGAAAGGGGAAGCGTGGGGGGGGGGGGGGACACCATAAAGGAAATTGGGTATGTAGAATTCAGATTACAAATGTGGAAACAAAGATGACAGATTCAGTTCACAATGCAATTAATGACTGGAACCACAGAAAAATATATAACAAGAGGCTAGACATCCATCTGTCGACATGATTTCATTTCACTGACTCCATCGAAGTGGGATTTGTGTGCAATAATCTCAATGGTCACTTCCAATTCTATGAAATTATCAATGTTTAAGTGATCTATCCAATGTTAGCTCTTTTCATATATATCATATATATCATGTACTGTCTTTTCACTGAGTTGTTGTGTTCTTCTGATGCTAAGAGAACCAGGGACAGATTAAAATATCCTTTATAGGGGGAAGGGTGTGGGTTGAAGAATGCCAATGTAAGTTTTATTTGTTCCAGAAAGCAGCAATGCCAGCAGTTACGGGTTTGTCTCTCAATGCTTATATCTTGCTCTGCAAACTGCACTGGCTTTTGGGTGCAATTCAAAGTGCTGGTGATTAGTTATACAGCCCGAAATGCCGTGAGTCCAGAGATATTTGTGGGACCACCTTACTCCCACTGTTCCTAACCATTCCATTATTCCTGGGCAGGAAGAACGTGCTGCAGATTGCATCTACTGGGGATTTTTATTTTGTGGGTCTCAGGAATCATGCCTTTTCTTTGACTGCTCCTACATCCTGGAACAAAACACTACTAAAATTACTACTAAGACCCCCAGAGTCATCCCAAGGAGGAACAGACAGCAAACAAATCTAATAAATAAAATAAATGAGTCAATAAGTCAATAATCCTGACACTGCTCACGTTTTCGAAAACTGTGAAGACCTAGCTGGGAACCAGGAGCGCAATTTGGTGCATAGTATGGCTGAATGCCAGTCAACGGAAAAGAGAGCATTGCTTGAAAGCAAGCGGTATGTGGGAGATTCTGAGGAATGCTGGGCCACAGAGGCAATCCCGCCATTCCCTAAAGGTCATGCGCTTTAAGGGAATGACATGAGGCACTATCACATAGTGCCGCTAGACCAAGATGGGGTGGAGATAGAGTTGTTTCTCTTTTGTTCAGGGGTACATGAGTGTGAGAGAGAGCCACCAGAAGAATCAAAGTAGGCATCTTCCAAATTTCTGACATGCCAAGTCCAAAAGTTTCTGTTGTAGGAATTCAACAACTCAAGCAGGTCTTGAGTATAACACCATTTCCAAGCAATTGCTTTTGAAACGGCAAGTTATATATACTGTAGATATGCTGCTATAATAATTGCTAGAAGCTATTGATAACCTTATCCTTTTTTAAATTCCCTCTGAAAACCATCCATATTTATAGCCCCCGTCTTATATATTACATATAAACTACGTGAAGCTATGCCTTCTTTTGTGTGTTCTTGGATAACTGCAGGCTCTTAGCAAAATCTTAATTAATGGAATGCATAGGCTTTATTCAAGTAAATCTACATATCTTTGTGTGAATAAAATAGCAGGCAACTGTGAGAGGGAAGTGCCACCTTTTCTTTTGAATGTCTCTGAATAGGTCATAAAGCATTTCCCATGTGAGATAACAGAAAAAGTTCTGATACTGTATTTGCTCTCTGCATTTTCTACAAATTAGTATTTATGTCATCTGGGATTGTTTTTTTTCCTGATTATAATGGATGACTGGGCCACAGAAAACAAATGTTTAGATACTATTATATTCTTACCTCACCTTCCCTGTGGGAACTGAAAGCAACACTCACATAAACAATTCTTAGAGGAATCTTAACTACTGCAAAAATACTTCAGTGAATGAACCCAGATCTTCCTGGTGCAAATCCATATTTCACACTGGCTGTCAGTGGGTCTTTTAAGTGACAAATCAGAGGAAAAAATGGGCCCATTAAAGCAGGAAGGAACTGTTTTAAAGCCATCAGCAAAGTACAGTATGTGGGCTTCCAGCAGCAGGCTAGAACCAGACAGAATATATAGCATTCTTCTGTTCTTTTATTGAAGCAAGACATTTCTGGTAGTTGAGATACAAACAGCAGGAAAAGAGTGGTTAATAACAAACAGACTCCTAAAAAAGAGAGAGAGAGAGTGGCAGAGGCTATCATAGTAACAGAACCTGTTCTTAATTCTCACCTGTCTTCCTTTATTCTTGCCAGTAGGGGCTCCAGCCAACCTGTAGTGCATTCACAGTGTGCATCCAAGAAAGTGATGACCTGGCCTTTAGAAGCGGCAGCACCTCTAAGCCGAGCTCGAATCAGACCCGACCGTTGTTCCATTCTAATAATTTTTACTGGCACTTGCAAATTTCTTACATAATTCTCTAATGGGAGCTTCAGAAAATCTGCCAAATGCCATTAAGAAAGAAGATACAACAAAGTTTGTTTAAGCTACACAAAGGGATTTTTTTAAAAAACACCAACTTTCAATGGGAATGGGAATGGGAATGGAATAGAGTAGAATAGAGTAGAATAGAATAGAATAGAATAGAATAGAATAGAATAGAATAGAATAGAATAGAATAGAAT